GCCCTAACTTCCGAGGCACCACCGGCCGGAAGGCAACATGGCGCCCATAAGCCTCGGACCAGCCATGGAGGCAAAGCGACCACATCGCAAACAGTTACTGCTGGAGAGGATGCGTTCAAAACTGTTGACCGAGTTGGAGCACGAGCGTGGATTCTGAACGAGTACTTGTAGGCGCCGACCTGCTGGCGCTTTTCGGTGGACGTCCACAATAGCGCTATGAGCGCATAGATGCTTGCCAACTGGCGAAGCTAGATGTTCTGACTGCGTATCAAAATACACTGGCATCTGCCCTGAGTAAACGCTTACTGAACACAGTTGAAGATCACTACTCAATGAACAATGAACAATGATATATTACAGGCAAAAAAAATCGATTGCTTTACAAGTCCTGTAGGATGGTTGAAGTGAAGTAAACATCAGTGTAAATCGTCAGTTTAAGCTTCTAGTGAATTCAAGTGCCCCTTATTCATAGAAACGTTGTAGAATGTGTACTGAATTGCTACTGTAGAGTAATATGGGAAGTAATATGGGTAAGGCATGTCTTAAGAACAAGAGAAACAACCAATGCTTACTCGTGCACCGCTTTCTTGGACTGGGGTAAATTGATGAATGCAGTTGTAATATATCCGATACTATATTCCACAACAGTAGTGTGTAAATAGGGAAGCACAAAAGCACGCACTCTCTGGAACTTATGGATGATTACGACGCGTTCCGGCTGGAAGCGAATACAAAGAGACTCGCAACGATCTCAGGGTGAAACTGCGTGCTATCCTGAAGACAGATTGCGAAGCTGGTGGTCTTATCGTACCTCGGAGATGGAGACAGCCGCTGCCCTTGGTCAACAACAGAAGTTATTGCGCCTGATACTAGAACGGACAACAGGAACCTTAGGGGTAGTCGGGCGATATGCAACGTGAGTGGAGAGCCGACCTACAAATTGTCAAAGCGCCTGAAGCGTTGGGCCGACCACTATATGAAACAGTTTAAGCAGGCAAAATTGCCAGCTTCTGCATTGGTCGATGGGCGTCCTGCTTCCTAGGCAGTCCTCTTGGAACCGCCGTCACGCACAGAAATTGAACATGACATCATAGGGTTGCAATTGAACAAGACCTCCGAATCAGATGAACTTCATCCAGCCCTGTACAAATTCAGGAGACCTACACTTTTGGACGATGTACATAACTCGCTAGTGAACCTGTAGCAAAAGACTGGAGAAACTATGTTATAGTCCTAATTTTAAATGAAGGCTTCTGTTCAGAATGCGACAGTGATATAGGAATCAGTCTAATATGGTTGGCGGCGTCCGGTTTCGGGTTTGACTGTCATTGTGGTCAGCCACAGGACGCCTGCGCACACAGAGGGACCATGGGTGGCTTGCGCTGCACCACCCACTGTACCATCCACACACTAAATATCGGGTCTAAACCGGAAGGAATAAGACCGGAAGGCATGCGGATGAGAGCCACGTTTCATCAACGGAGCCGGCCCACACTCCTTCACAGGCAAACACAAGCACGATGTATTTGGGAATCAAGCGCACACAAGGCGGTGGCTGGATCATAGTCCGCTTCACAGTGAGTGCATGGAACCACTCTTTGATCCTAACACGGCCACAAGGACCGCGCACCCCGTCCCGTCCAGCAACGATTAACTGTCTCTTGGAGCCAGTATGGATGAGGTAGTGGGTAATAGACAGGTAGGCACCTTGTCAACATGCACATCAAGTGCAGCCACACCGGGGATATCAAGCAACAGTCAATCACTTGAAACGACAAGAAGAAATAAAATAAATCCAATAATGCATACAGATACGGTGGTGTAGCTTTTCGCTAAATTAGCACATGAAGTAACTTGGCCAACAACGAATCCGCGGTAAATAAGAAATGTCCACAAGTTACTTAAAAATGCTACAAACGCAACAAAGTAATCGAAGATAAGAGCTATTAGCGTAAGCAACGTGGCCAGTTAATGGAAGATTATTCAGATAGACAGAACAAACCAACTAAAGTGGAATGCAATTTATCAAGCTTAAAATGACCTAGTTTAAGTGCAAGTTGGTTTAGCCCAACTGCGGTGAAGATGCATCAAGAATGTAACATCAGCCTCAGTATGGGGCACATAAGTCTAATATACATCGCCTCTAAATCACTTACATCCGTCGACCTCCATAAGTTAACTGGCATCCGTGAAATCCAGTTTCGTGAGGAGCAGGTCGGGTTTCCTCAAAATTGAGGCTGCATCGACCACATCTGCACATTACGTCATTTGTTTGAGCACCACCACGTTTATTGGCGACCCACTGTAGTCGTGTTTCTAGACGTCAAAGAGGCCCTCGATTCAATTGATCGGTGTGCCCTTGGGGAAAGGTTTGCCGAGAAATATGCACATGTCGGAAGTGTGCTGTACGCGCATAGTTGGGGTAGAGCGAGCGTTTATGGCAAATTGTCGCAGCTCTTCAATATCTCCAGCGGTGTGAAACAACGTTGCCGGCTATCACCATTCCATTTTAACTTCACCATTGACAAAGTCATAGAAACGGCGTTCGCCGGGCACTACTTAGGTGTGGAGTTCCTTCCAAGTGACCGACTTCTTGACTTGGAGTATGCCGACAATATTGCGCTCATTTGTGAAAGCTCACGAATATGTTAAGCTGCAGTAACAGCTCCGGCTATCAGCCGTTTCAGGCTATGCTCTGCACTCTCGAAATGCAGACCGCTTCTCTGAGGTTGGTAAGGACCCAGTCCTGCGCTGAACCCTGATGGTGATCAGCTAGAGGTCGAACAGAAATTTAAGTATTTATGGAACTATACTAGCACCTGTGGGATTGAAGAGAAAGTCACGGACCGCATAGCGAAAGTTCGGAGTGCTCTTGCCCATCTCCGCCACCTGTGGCGCCGGCATCGTATTACTCTCGCTCTGAAGGGCAGAGCTTACAATTCAGCCGTCCGTCCAATCCTCCTGTACAGTTGCAAAACCTGACCCATCAAGTCGACCGATATAAACAGGCTAGTTGCGTTCGACCGTCACTGCCTTCGCAGCATAGCTCATGTCTGGTGTGAACACCGCACGAACATTGCGTGTGTTCGGCGTCGTGAATTTGGTGCAGGAAGAGCGAGTAAACCACTCAGCACCATTAAATCATGCACCAGGCTCAGATGGCTGGGCCACGTGTTGGGCATGACAACAGACCGTGTTTCGCATCGTGCGTTGTTTGCGCGCCGGGGTGTGGATGGAAGATGAGGGGAGACCAATTGATAATTTGTCAAGAGGAATGAAGTCTCCCACTCCGAACTTGGCGTCTGATGGTGTTTCCCAACTGCCGGGCTGGGGACCGAAGGACGATGAACGCGTTTGTTTGGATGCATTAGCTGGCATCGCGAAGAGCCAAACACAGTATAGTTTGTGTTGTGTCTCTTTGTCCCTCCACTCCCCTTTAACTTCTCCCTCCAACAACAATCTCAAACTCTGTGCAAAGCGGAAGGTTTAGCAGTTACTTTTACATTTTTTAGTCTGTATCGGTTGATTTCTTATTTTTGCTTCTATTGCGGCACCTTAGCTGAGGTGTGCATCTCATCCTCGGCTAACGTGTAATGGTGATGATGATGAACATAGCCTTGAGATTTAGAGAAATAATCAAAAAGGGACATAAGCGAATATAAGTCACCCGAGTTCCCGTTCCACAATGTAAATTTGCCGTTTGAGGGTCCAGCTAGTGACTTCTCAAAGTGTCAATCACTCCGGGGGATTCCCTAATAATTGGGCTAGATAATAGTGGATAAACACATTTCTACAGCACTTAGCGAAATATCACTTGGATAGCAGTTCCATGTCCAGGAAAATCCATTTTAGTGTAGTGATTGTATTGAAATTCCGAATCGGGTACAGGTAACAGCACTTCAGAGGGTTGTTAGAGCACGAATTCACAAGTAGAGCATTGCATAGTACACTGTGAAGTTGATACAGCCATATCAGCTCGTCGAATATATTAAAAATGCACAAGGGCAAACTTGAAACCTACGGCACTACTGGAAAAATGAGGAGAGTAATTCCCTCTAACTGAAACGTGTTCGGCATCACTCTCCACCGAACTTGCGCTCAACACCAGGTGGTTGGAAATAAAAGGCTAAAGATTAAAGAGTTCCTCAAACTCGTGCTTTTTACAACATGGTGCAGTATGCTACGATAAGTCGTACATTCACCTTTCTCAAAATCAGTCTTGCTCTTATTTGCATAGTTATGTATGTGAAGCCTTTGTTTACTTGAGAGAATAAGGAGGCTTTGCCGAGGGTAATGGAGGCCGTTAACCGTCTGCAAGTCATTGGCCAATTGTCAGACGTTTAACTTATTTGGAAACGGATTTATTGTTCAAAAGAAATATACCATTGCCTTCTGTTCACATGAAACCGGCTGCGAATGGTGCGATAACCTGTACGGCAGCGCCTGTTTTGTTGGGGAATTAAACGGTTATCCAGTTAGAAAGTTATATCCACACCTGCATAGTTAGAAAAGCCGTCGTGCTGCAACCACCACGATTATTGCTAACAACGTGAGGGATACCACTATGTAATGTCAGCCACCGGTTTAATCCGACCAAAACCTACTCGATCACCAATAAAAGTTCTATAGGGAAATATCGACTAGGTGTCTGCAAACCACATACTAGTTATCTAATGTGGGCAAACCTAACAAGTTGTTGTGGCGTTAGAAGGTGGGATCACCAACTGTTTTTGTGAACTCACGGGCGAATTCAATTAGTTCACCGAATGGTTATCTAGCACTGTGTCATTAACAGTTAACTACCTGTGGCCCGCTGACCTGCTAACTGACTGATGAGCAGGCTATCAGTGTCATTAACGGCAGCATGGATGGCCTCAGTGAGTTTGGCAGACATTAGTAAACTGATGATGTTTCGCTCAAGGGGATCATGGTAAAACGTTCTTTGAAAGTATATACGGAAACCCATAAGTATATTATTCATGCAACTGTGAGAGACTCACCTTTTCTGTCACACAATGATGTTCACAATTCTTCAGCTTCTGGCACAGATTCACCTCAAATTCACATCTAGGACCCTCGAAATTAGGCTGGCATGCACATTGCCCGTCCGGTAGACATTCTCCTCCATTCATGCACTCTGGGTGACAAAACTTGTTGACTGGGAAGCAAGAAAAACCGTCTGGGCCCAACCGATAACCCGGCATACAATCGCACGAATATGATCCATGCGTATTGCGACACAACTGGTCACATTTGTTGGTGTGGGTAGTACATTCGTCTATATCCTCTTCGCAACGTGTTCCCTGAAAACCAGGGTCACATTCGCATTGAGTTCGTTGAGTGGCGTTGATATACACAACGCGACAAACGCCATTGATACAACGCCGTCGGTAGCACTCCGCCTCCGCATTTGCACAGGATGGATCACACGTGTCTGCCAGACACCGGACGCGGTTCACAGGATCTAGCAGATAGCCTACTTCACAAACGCAGTAGTAAGATCCAGGTGTGTTTACACAGTGATGTTCACACTGATCTTTCCCGATAGTACACTCATCTACATCTAGACCGCAGTCCGGTCCCTCGAAGCCTGGAAAGCAAACACAAGTTCCATCCGGTCCACACGTACCCTGGGTAGGCACGCATTTCGGATCACAATCAACTGGAATGCACATAGTCTCATTCTGTGGACTTTGTTTGTAACCCGGGTAACACTGGCATTCAAATGAACCACGTGTGTTCACACATATATGTTCGCAATTGTGTAAATTCTGTTCACATTCGTTCACATCTTCGGTACACCATTCTCCCTGAAAACCATGGTTACAAATGCAACGATCATGTACATCACACGTCCCTTGATCTGCGGCACACCTATGCGAACATTGCTCACTTGGCTCGCACTTCCTGTGATTGATTGGATCAACCCGATAACCGGGCAAGCATTCACACCTGAATGATCCGTATAAATTCACGCACCGTTGTTCACAGCCAGCGGCACCACTCAAGCATTCGTCTATGTCTAGACGGCAGTCAGATCCGGTCAAGCCTTGAGGACAGACTTGTGTGTGTTCGCAAGCCAGCCCCGAGAAACCAGGTTCACAACGGCATTCTTTGCTCCGCATGTCACATCTACCCCTACCATTGCAACCCAATGGACACTGAAATAAGTCTAAATCGATAGAAAAACAGGAAGTGTTGTTTGCCGCTGAACTCCAAGGGTTACAGACACACTGATAAGTGATTCCAGTGTGAATGCATCCAAAGATACATTGTGCACCATACCGTTCCAGGCAAACTGACCTATTCATCACGTGACATTCAGCACCACTGAGACCATCGGAACATGTAATATTTTGTCCACACGTTTGTGGACTGGAACAATTCCCGAGGCAGTTGGATCCGGTGCATGAGACAAGAATTTTGCGATTCCTGCACCGAGGTTCACTTGGTTCAGCGCAATCAATGGGTATGCAAAATGGCGGTATACATGATGCATCACTCTCCATTCTCGGTCCAGCATCGTATGGCCAAAGGAACTGGTCACCCATATGCTCATATTCATCTCTCTGTGGACGATATCCCCAAAACTGGCCTTCCTCATTCCAAACCATGTCTTTCAGATGATCTGAAGAGTGTGATCGGAAGGGCTTTTCTCCATATAAGCCTGACTTTTGAAACGATTTGGTATCAATCTGAGCTGGTGGCCTAGTTCTTTGGATGGCGTAAGGTGTCCATGCAGTGGACTGAGGCGGATGACCGGGATCCATTTGTAAGTGTGAAGCCTCCATGAATGAAACCTCTCTCTGAACCGAATTTGGGTAGGCCGCAAAATTCTTCAGGGTCAAACGTTTCGAGAATCTGTGAGATATATCACCTGAGGACGGTAATCGCTGGTGGGAAATCATCTCTGTTGTTGGATGCGTCACGTTATAGAAAGGATTGACATATTTATTCCATCTAAGAGAGGTTACCGCCTGCTGAAATCGAAAAAAGTAAACAAAAACTAGTAGTCCAATGGACAAATTCATAAGGGTTCGTTCTACGCGCCGCATCGTTCACATTTGCCACCAGGTAAGTCACGATGTGATGGGAAACGTGGAACCGACCAATCAAAACAGCTGCCCAATCAGCGCCAGACGATAGCACCAGGCCGGGAATACTGACAACCGAAAACATAAGTTGAATTCCATTGGCAAGTTTAAAACTGTTCACTTCACAAATAATGAACTTCGTGGGGATTTTTGCACTCAGTGACTGGGAGAATTTCCAGGCAACTGCGGCTCCCTCATGGTTTCCGCAGGTTATCATGGATGCAGTGAATTTGCCTCACACCTAGCACCAACCAATCGTTGAGTATGGAAGTAAATATAGTTGAAGTAAAACAACTCTCTGTCATGATCGTTGAATTTCTTGCTACCAACTGCGAGGCAATCGCCGCAGAATAAGCGCGGTCGTCTGATATATTATGCCGACGGTGCGATCACTAGACAGCTACGGACGGTCAGGTTGTTTGTGAACTCATTCCAATACAACCAAAAGTTGTTCGCAGTTAGCAGCTAGGCAGTGCATCTTTGGCGCACTAGTGAAGGTGGCAACGAAGTGAACTAAACTAAAGTAAAGTGAAATAAAGTAAAGTACATATATATATATATATATATATATATATATATATATATCCCATGCTGAGGCTAATGTCGCATTCGTGATGCTTCTTCACCACAGTTGGGCTAAACCAACTTACACTTAAACTAGGTCTTTTGATGTGGATAAAATTAATTACATTTTATTTCATTTTTGTTCTGCCTACTTGATAAACTTCGCACAACTTAAACATGTCGCTCATGTAAATTGTGGTAACCTTGGGTATTTTTTAAATAACTTTCGGACATTTTGTACTTGTCGCGTATTCACATTTAACCAATTTCTTCCATATGCTCTTTTAGCAAGTAATTATGTCATCATAAGCGTTTACGTTATTCGATATCGGCATTTCGAATGATTGGCTGTTGTTTAACATCCCAGGTGTGGTTGCGCTTGATGTGCATGGTGACAAGGTGCCTACCTGTCTATTACCCACTACCTCGTCCATACTGGCTCCAGGAGACAGTTGGTCGTTGCTGGAGGGGACGGGGTGCAAGGTACATGTGGTCGTGCTAGGCTGGAAGAGTGGTTCCATGTAGTCAGTGTGGAGCGGACTACCGTCCAGCCACCGCTTTAGGTGCGATTAGTTCCCAAATACAGCGTGCTTGTGTTTGCCTCTGAAGGAGTGTGGGCCGGCTCCGTTGATGAAACGTGGCTCCCATCCACATGCCTCCCGGTCTTATTCCTTCGGGATTACCCTGGATATGGGTATGTGGTTGGAGCTGTGGGTGGTGCAGAGCAAGCCACCCATGGTTCCTCTGTAGGTACAGGCGTTCTGTGGTTGGCCACAGTGACAGGCAAATCCGAAACCGGATGACGCCAACTATATACAGTCGATTCCGGTTACTAGGTCCACCGGTTGATAGGACCAACCGCTTATTCGGGCCAAATTCTGAAGAACCGAAACGAATGCTATTACGCTAGCCTAATTTTAGCCGCTTATTAGGACCGGAATTCCGCTTAATCGGACCAGACGATAGAAGGTGGCAGGTAACAGAGGTGTTAAAATCAAGTTCTGTGCCTGGATGTCTGAACTAAACCCACAGTTCATATGTCGGGCAAGAAAGCGTACCATTCAGTTACGGTAATCCGAGTTGGCCTTTGGATAAACTGAACTGTAGCAACCTTGAGGCACATCTATCTAATTGGCTTCAGAATCGCCCGAAACTGACTGTAGTTTCCAACACTTGTAGGCGGAGCGAAGACATACATGCTTGTTCATATGTCGTTAACCGCTCGATCGATGTACCGCACGTCCACTGAGCCGAATGCCCTGAGCCAGCATTGCGGCCTACTCTCAAGCACGGCAAGTGATCGCGGACACACAGCTCCGGCAAATCATAGGACAGCAGGTGGCTAGGTTAACCATAGAAATACCCGGGAGACAGACTCGAGTTCACCTCAATGAACTGTGCGTGTCTTGTTGGATGTTAAGAAAATGTCACGACGGAACTTGACGTTAGCTGAGAAGACTCGTTTCCTAGATCAGATCAAGGAACAGGGACCAATCACTAGTCAGCGTCGATTGGTGGAAATTACCTGCTTGGCAAAATCTACGATATCGCGCCTGGTAAAACAATAGAAAGATCTGCGAGAAGAATTGGCACAATGGGAAGGACGACGAGGTACTTCCCAAAAACGGAAGCGTGAAGGCAAGGATCCAGACGTTGATGAGGCCCTTAATGATTGGTTTGCTTTTGTTACCGTGCGAGTAAGTGGCCCAATAAAGTACAAAGCAGAAGAACTCGCTACAATGCTGGGCCACGAAGATTTTATAGCTACGGACGGCTGGTTGTCTCGATGGAAATCTAGACATGATGTAAAATTTAAGAAAGCACATGGGGAGAAAGAAAGTGCCAATAGCGCTCGAGCTGAAGAATGGAAATCAACAAAACTACCAGAGCTTCTTGAAAAATTTCCAGCAGATGACATCTATAATGCTGATGAAACCGGGTTGTACTATAGGGCTACACCGGACGGCTCCTTAAGTTACAAACATGTTACTCTCTCTGGCTTCAAAAAGCAATGGATCGCGTAAATATCTTGTGCTGCTCAAACATGTCCGGAACAGACAAGAGGAAGTTGCTGGTTATAGGAAAATGTGCCAAACCTCGCTGCTTTAAGGGACTCAGAATGGACAGTTTATCAGTTGTGTATGGTGTGAACAGAAATGCATGGATGAGCTCTACACTTTTTAGAGAATGGGTGAAAGATTGGTACACAGAGCTACAAGGCCAGTCAAGCAAAGTGTTATTACTTCTCGACAATTGTGCAGCACATTCAAATTTGGATTTCTTGAAGAATATCCAGATGGAATTTCTGCCTCTCAAGACCACATCTTTGATACAGGCAATGGACATGGGCATCATAAAAAATTTGAACACCTTTTATCGTTCAAAGTTGGTGAATTACATCCTTGAATCAATTGAGGAGGGCTCGCTGACCTCATCCTCGACGGCCGGAGAAATCAGTGCAAAGGTCAACATTTTGCAAGCCGTTACATTCGTGGCCGAAAGTTGGCGAAAAATGAGCAGTGCGGCAATACGAAACTGTTTTTCTCACTGTGGCTTTAAGCATAATGTCTCGGAGATGGATGTGGATATGGTGATTGTAAATGAAAATGAAGGCGAGAATATGGAGCTGAAACAAGTTGAAAATTACGAAGAATTTTTGTCAATCGACAACGAACTTCAACTTTATGATGGAAATGAAGAATGCGATGCTGCCATTGTTGCTCGAATAGCAGCGAAACACACGACAGCAACAGAAGACCATGGAAGTGATGAAGAGAACCCTAACGTGTTGATGTCAGTCACAAAACAGGATGCAAGGAAATGCATTGAAACATTGCACCGCTATTTCATGCAGGAAGGAAATGAAGGTAGTCCTATTACTGCGTTACATGTTTGTGGTGATTTTGTGCGAATGCAGTCTGTTAAAATAATGCGTCAAACCACACTGGATCCGGTCTTCAAACGCTGAATGGAATTCGGTAATCCCTTTGTATAAAACTGTACTTCGCATGCTGATTATCTTGTAGGTCGTTACGAAGAAGTTGTGTGTAAATTTCTTTTTCAGTGAACAAAGTTCGCTATCAAAACAGTTCTTTTTTGTGTGTTTGCTATAAGTATATGCCGCCAATACAGGTCATAATAGTAGTTTCATATGTTATGTATAGCACGTCCCATCTTGTTACATCGGGTAACTTCGATTAAGCGGACCAGCCGCTTAATAGGACCAAAGTGGTCTGGTCCCGATGTGGTCCGATTAACCGGAATCGACTGTATATGGTTGGAGGCATGTGGTTGGGATCAATGTTTCATCAACGGAGCCGGCCCACATTACTTCATAGGCAAACAAAAGCACGCTGTATTTAGGAATCAAGCGCACACAAGGCTGTGGCTGGAACGTAATCCGGTCCACACTGAGTGCATGGAACCAATATTTGAGTCTAGCATGACCACAAGGACCGTGCACCCCGTCCCCTCAACAAAATCCTACTGTCTCCTAGAGCCAGTATAGACGAGGTAGTGGGTAATTGACAGGTAGGCACCTTGTCAACATGCATAACAAGCGCAGGCACACCGGGATATCAAGCAACAGCCAATCACTTGAAACGACAAAATGACATAGAGTAAATCGCAAAATGCGTGCAGATACGGAGACATAACTCTTGAATAAATGAGTGTATAAGAAATTGATTACGGACGAATCCGCGATAAGTTCAAGAGGTCAGAAAACATATTTTAAGGAAATGCCAGCAACGTGAAAAGGTTATAGAAGTTAACTACAATTAGCTTCAGCTGGGTGTGCAACTTTATAGAAGATTGTACAGGCAGAGATTATTATGAGAAAGAAAAGTATTAGGACAAAATTGCAAACCCACTACCTGAAATAAAGAGATTTAGCATGCAAGCACGCCTTAATAAACCGAATGCCGTTTACTTACAAACGCTGCGGCGGTTCTACCTACGTTCTCTGTAGGACAGGTTGTCACTTTGGTGGTGGTCTCGGTTGACCTCGCTCATGGCTCCCTAAGCCTGCCTGACTCAGGCACTCGCGACAGCATATGCTACAGCACCATGCGCTCGATGTCGATGGAGTACAACCTATCGGCGCCTGTCGCTTCCGTAATTGCCGTTTGTTCTCTGCATGTATGAGGTCCCTCTCTCGCACTTCGGCAACTACATTCGTGATCAGATCGCGTCAATCATGCCGATTAACCGCCTTCGATTCGCATGAGATGCAATCAAGTTTAGAACTTGAAAGGCTCACTTTAATCATGTCTTTGTAACTAAGCTTTGGTTACCCTACACTCCGCTTCCCAATACTCAACTGACCACATAAGAGTTGTTTCGGCATACGCGTCGAATCCATACGACTCACATGACCGAGCCACCTCAGGTGTCTCAGCAAAACTATGTC